CTAGTCATAGATATTTTGAGCACATAATTCAACATTAACAAATGATGTGCAAAATCAAACAACAGTAAATTACGACATAAGAAACTAAATAACAACGGGCATATGATTTTGTACATATTCATACAAAGTAATTTCCAATAAAAAAACCGAAAAGCAAAGATCGAAATTAAGAAATTAAATGATTGTAGGAAGTAAGTGACGGAGCAGTGAAAGGTGAAAGAAATTGCGTTCTTCTCGTTTTATTTGTCTTTAGTGTAATATGATATCCACCTCTATTTTGTAATGAACAAGCCTTCTTGGTAAGTATAATTGTGTCTTTACGCGCATACACGGACAAAGAAGAGACAAAAATCTATTGTTAGATATCAGCAAAGAAAAACATTATAATTAACATATCAAATAAGATAACTTGAGGAGAAAAAAATAAATGAGAGAATGCAAAAAGAGGTAAACGATAATAATCGCTAACCTTTATTTATTAATTCGTATATTTTTGCATGAATTGGTGAATGCAAAAATGCACGAACAAATTCTTAAGATCGGGCCGAATTTTATGACTGATTGGGGCAAATTCAATGATGACTAATTGAGTAGTGTGCTCATCTAAGGGAAAATTACCTAATCAGTCCTAAATTTGTTGTGCGAATGTCCATTCAATAATAAACTTATCAATTTTGTTAATTAGTCCTAAACTTTTGTGCAAAATTCCAATGTAGTCCTTCCGATTAATTTTCACCATGATCATTTACAGTTGTCCTACATGGCACACCGTCACATCGCAATTTCCTGCAAAAAATTAGCCGCAATAACTACATTGGAATGTCACGCAACGATTTTAAGACGAAATCGGCAAAATTGAAAAGTTTAGAATTGATTGGACAATTTCTCCCTCGTCTAAGGATTAGTTGTTGAGCTTTCAGCTTGAATATCCAAAAACGAAGTCTCCATTTCAATAGACCAAATTCTCATTTCCATCCAGCCATATGCCAAAACCAAAAATATTTTGTGAATGGGAAGGGAATGAGTTGTCATGCTTTATGAATGCATAAGCTTAATTAGGTACTTTTTGTTTTTGAAACGTGTAACAGTTCTCACATATGTCAAAGGGACACCATATTTAGTTAGTCGTCAATACTACGGATTTAACAAAATTTAATTTCAAAATTTATAAGAGAACTTGACTAACTTCATATATGAATTTCACTTAAAACATCAAAATTGGGGCATACGAGTGAAAATTGATTTATTACATGATCACGTAATTATAAAAGATCACATATATTTTTTTTATCCTACAAGTGTAGACAAAATGCATCGGCCACAATAACATGCAGAGTATACTAACAAAAGGAGGTTGGATGGTCTTTACAATCCTCAATTTTATTTTATTTTTTTGTAGGACGAAAATGAAATAATCGAGGCACTACGTCTGGACAAAAAGGGCTCCAAAGAGTTCATGAAGCAAGAGAGCTTCAAAAGAATGCCTAACCTGAAGTTCCTTCATTTGAGGGCCACAGGTTTTGCTGGAGATTTCAAAGGATCACTTTCTGAATTAAGATGGCTAAAGTGGGAGAGATGTCCCGACTCTTTCGAGGCAACCAACGTTCATTTGAAGAAATTGGTGATGCTTGATTTATCAGGTGATTATACTAGTGGAAACTGTATTAGTGAAAATTGGAGAGGATGGAGTTCAATTAAGGTAAAGATGAAAAAGGCTTTCTCTTTTGTTGCATTTGATGGTAAGTCATTCTATTTTCTAACTACTAATCTTGGAACATGTTTATTTCTTGTAGATGGAGAGGTTGAAAGTTCTCAATCTTTTAGAGTGCTGGAGATTAAAGAGCACCCCTAATCTCTCCGCGTTTAAAAATTTGGAGATGCTAATCCTGGAAGATTGTCCCTGTTTGGAGGAAATCGACCCTTCCATTGGAGATGTCAAGCGCCTTGTTTCCTTGAACTTGAGCAGGTGTACGAGTCTCGAGAAGTTACCCGAACAACTGGGCGAACTAGAACATTTGGAGGAACTTGTCGTAGACCATATTGGGATAAAAGAAATCCCTCCATGTATAGAATCTCTAAAGAAGCTGAAGACACTTAGTGCCAGGACATGTTGGCTATTAACTCAAGTTCCCAGCTCAATTGGGAAGTCGGGAGAGTTGGTTGAGTTAGACTTGTCATTTACAGGTATTATAGAATTACCTGAATCCATTGGGGAATTGAACAAATTGAAAATTCTGACGGTTTTTAAGAGCAAGATAAAAAGGTTACCGAGCTCTATTGGAAAATTGCAGAGCCTCCAAGAGTTCGATGCCAGCGGGTGCCGTGACCTCGAAGGAGAAATTCATGTTGATAAAGGTGGATTGTCTTCTCTAAAGACCCTTCGTTTAGGTCAAACAAAAATTTCTCGCTTGCCCGAAAATATCAGTGAGCTTTCTTCTCTCGAGCACCTCCATTTACTTGACTGTAGAGAGCTTCAGTCACTCCCAAAACCTCCTGTTAGCTTATCATCCCTGTATCTCACCTGTCGGAGCAATGAGCTGCCATCGCTCTCTCACCTCAAGCATCTACAGGATCTCCGCCTTATTTCTTGCACGTCTCTTCAAAGCATCCCAGAGCTCCCCTCCTGCATACAGACTCTTATCGTTTGGGTATGCCCCAAATTGGAAAGGTTGCCAAAGCTTTTCGATTTGGAATTTTTGTCGGAATTACGGCTCATGGAATGCTATGGGCTGAAGGAATTGGATGGATTGGAAGCTTTGAAATCCCTAAGAGTGTTGCACCTATCCAGAGACCTAGGGTATTTCCGTTTTGAAGATAATCTCCATGCGATAGGAGGCCTTGAAAAATTGGGATCCCTGGAAGTGTTGAATATCTCTGGGCGCAAGCACATTCAAGTACTGGACCTTTCAAAGTCGGAGCATCTGAAGGAGTTGATTGTTAGGAATTGCAAAAGCTTAGTTGAAATTCGCTGCCCTAGTAAATCCCTAAAGCGCTTTGAAAGGGATGGGTGCGAGTCGCTCAAGAAATTCCCAGACTTTTTACCACCTGACGAGGAATTCAACTACGAGTCTGATGAGGAAGCCGACGAGGTTGATGAGGAATCCGATGTGGAAGCTGATGAAGAAATGACCAGACTTTGTTTGTAACTATGATCCAAAGTAGCATTTTCTCCATGAGTATGTGGAAATTCCTTCTCATAAGATTCTCCAAGGATGTCCTCACTCATCCCAGTTAGCTAATACCGAAGTGAAATGGTGTTGAAGGCTTCTAATTTCACATGGAAAAGGACGCTAGTGTCTAGAATTGTTGCGATGGTGATATGGCTTGTTCATTTTTTTCCTTACTTTTTCTTTGCTAGCTTTCTAGTTGAATGGAATTGCTCCTTATCTCCTTCTGACTGTGGGAAAATGCAAAAGCTTGAGCTGATAATAGAAGTCCATTGGTTTCTTCTTTCACCAGGAGTTATCGGGCTCTGACATTGTGGTGTGTTTGGAAGAACTTTTGCTTTTAACTTTCATCTATACTATTGCTTTTAGCATTTGCAATGTGTCTTTTGTTCAAAGCTCAGTGCTTCAAACCTTCACAAAACATAAAACTTCGCATTTTTTGGCCAATTATAGCAAAATAATTATTGTCTTGCTGACAAAGTCAGGAAATACCTTTTGATTTCTAATGTTGAAACAGAAACACCATTGAATTTGTTTCTATTTCCATGGCTAGTTTTCATTCTGTCATCCTCTATATGGATCCTCTATAATGTGATGGTCTTGCTTTTTGAAGGTTACAAACTCTATGCTAGCCGACTGTTGCCTGCACCAATGCGAAATTCAGAGTACAGAGCTGATTGAATCTGACAGTAAGTGGCTTTTTTTTAAGTTACCTGACGATTTCAGTTCACAAAAAGGCGTTGAAGAATGATGTTGAGTTGAGTCGTGCTTGAGAAATATCTGGTCGTTGGCCAGTTCAACTATGAATTTGAGGATTGCATCTACAGCAGGGATGGGTTATGTTTGATGCAGGCGTGGGGACTGCTTTGGCCAACTTATTGTCTGTTCCTTAGCTTTTCAACATTTTTCTTTTCTCATGTTGGGCAAGAAGGTTGGTCCACGATTGAGCCGTGCCCTCGATCGCTGGTGCTGCATTGTTCCATCGTGGAGTCTCTCCCTGATTCGCCTGCAAAAAGAGATGCTCGGCTCCCTCTTAAACTGAGAGCTCTTGTAGAAAGAAAATGGAGAGAATTGAGAAAGAAAAAGATCTGATTTTGGAGATCGCTAACATCTCCTACTAAACAAAAAATATAGCAGGTATAATACCATTTTCTGTGGAGATTACCTGCTTCCATTAGTATTTTCAGTTTGGACGGGGCTTTTCTTTGATACGATATTATTTTCCTGTCTTAATTCCAGCAACCGGAGGAAGTTGTTTGAGCAAAGTAATTGTAATGCTTCAGTTTTATTTGGCTCGTGATCATGATATGAATAAAAAAGGTCAGAATGCCTGCAAAAGGATATTTGATGTCTTCAGTCAAATAGTATGAGATTCTTCATTCTCGACATGGTATCAATCTGCGCTTGTGTAAATAAAGTAATACTTCTCTCCAACTTCTATGATGTAGAGAAATTCACTATTCGATGGATTCTAGAAACTCCTCATGCATATGTGATCTTGATTGCATTTTATTAACTCGTTACTTGGTCATGGCAGTGGGCAGTGAAGGTACCATAAAACGTGTTCTGCATTTTCTCAAAGCCAGGGCACTAATGTCAAGATGATGAATCTCCATGGATCTGTATCAAACTTTATTTATAGTTTAATATGCCAATGTGAAGATTGCTCTCTCTGAAGGCAGATACATGGCCTTGATCAGGCTGAAAGTATTATCATCAGCGGTCGAAACCTGGTACAAATCATGAAGCCACTCTTTCCTTGTTTTTCTTCATGCCTTTAATTATCATCTTGCAATTTCATACCTTAACATCATGCACAATTTCTTACTTCAGTTCGGTCATTGTTTGGTGTTGACAATGTCTACACCTCAGAGGCTTAAAAAGAACAGAGGATTTCCACTATATTGTGGATAACAGTGCGAGATCCAAACCAGAAGTATGGAGGAAGTATTAAATCAACCGTATTGCTTTCATGTTTTTGGGATAAACATGACAAGTAATCAATGGGTGGTTAGAAAGGTGATTTGCTTAAGTCCTTTAATAGTTGAGAGCTGAGCTAGATCTCTTATTGCCATCTTTTCTTGAACTAGAACTCAAATCAGAATGATTTGTTATGGCTGCCATTGAACAAAATTGGAAAGCCACTCCTGCAATAACTGTGTTTCAGCCAGAAATGTGCTCCATTTTTGGCTAGGCCGATGGCAGGGACAAAAGATCTTCAGAGCTCGGGTATTACCCAGCTGTTAATGGCACCAAAATGAAGTGGGAGGAGCTGTGCATATGATTTTTAATTCTGTGTAGAGCTTAATTGGTACTGCATCAGAAGCGAGGACTTCCAACTATGATTGTAATCTTGACATTGGAATAGCTCATTGGCAATATTAGGAGTGCAAATTGACTTGGAAGATACTAGTCATGTTCTTTTATTATCATTTTCACAACAGTTTGATGCATGTCCGATGAGAGAAATCATGTTCTTTCATTATCATTCACGCAAAGAGAATACCAGAATGATGGAGAACACATATGCCCCATGTAGAATTATGAAGAATATTTGCATGGCAGCGGAACCACAGAGATCGGGTTCTAGAGATCATCCGTGTTTCCTAGTAATTGTAAATATAGCTGGTAAAGTATCATATTTAGTTAAGAATACCTACTTCACATTAGTAATTTCAGTTTGGTATGGGGTTGTGTCGATGTCTTATTGTTTCCTGTCTTATTTGAAGTAATCTTGGGGAAATTGGTTGACTAAGTGACTGCAATGCTTCAGCATCATCTGGCTTGTGATCCTGGTGTGTATGAAAATAGATAAGAATGAGTTCGAAGTACATTGCATGTCATTATACATCATCAGTCACAAAGAAAGACTCTTCATCCTTGACATCACATGAATATGTTCTTATGCAAACAGAGAGTATTACCTTTCTGCAAGTTCTATTAAGGTTCATTTCCTAGAACAGAGGATGTTTATTATGTGTTTTTTTTTTCAATTCATTCATGCATAATAAAAAAAGAAAAACTTCATTACTTGTTAGCAAAAGTTCTACCCAAAAGCTTAAAGTATTAGTTAGAGGTAGACTCAATATATATAACCCCCGTTGAAACCCTTTATTTAACCAATGTGGAATAACACTTCTAATAATTGATTGATCATGGCAACTACTCATGTCTATGTGGTTTTGATTGCATTTTTAGTAGCTTATGTCCACTTATTCTATCATGGATTAATAAGCCACCGGAGGCACCATCATAACATTTTTACTTTTCTCAAATCCAAGACACCGATGTTGAGATGATGAATTTCCATGGATCTATATGCAACTTTGTTTGTCAATTGAGAAGCTAATGCATAGATTGCTCAATCTGATGATGGATTCATGGCCTTGATCCTGTCAAAAGTAACATCTTGTCCGGTGGAAATCTAGTAGGAATCATGTTGTGCTCTTTCTTGTTTTTCGTCATGCCTATATCCATCTCACATGTTCATACCATCAGTTAGTGTCTTTATGTATCGATTTTGCATCATTTTGTCCCTTCTTCATCTGGTGGTGACAATTTCTCATGCCCCTGATACTTTAAATGACCAGGAGCTTCACTATAATTTCGGTAGTGGTATGAGATCCAAACCAAATATCTGGGATATGGATGCAACAAGGACATTCTTTAAGCCAATTGCATTGTGTTGTGCTTTATGAATGGGAGCTGTCCGTCATAGTAATGAAAACAGGTGCTTTACTTCACTCTCGGAAGGTTTGAGAGCTGATCAATGAATGTCTATTTTTCTTAAACTTAGTAACTTCTCTTCTTCTTCTTTTTTTTTTTTAAGGACAGTAATTTTCCTCAAATTTGGTTACGTCACTTGTGAATTTTTCATAAATGTCATGATTTTGGCTCTTAAATTGTACTTTATGATATTTATAAACATGCATATAAAGATTGCAATTAATCTCGTGTAACTAAGACCAACAATACCTACTGGTTAATAGTTTTCCCATAAGATCTTAATCTGATTCAATCAGCCATATGTACCCAACGATACCTATCATTGCCAATCGTTGCCATGTACATAAGAAGTATATATTTTCAGAAAATTACGTAAAAAAGTAAAAGCCATGTACATAAGAAGTATATATTTTCAGAAAATTACGTAAAAAAGTAAAAAAAAGAACACAAAAGATGGAGTAGAAAGTGTCATTGGAAGCTACTCTTTCCTTCATTAGATGCAGGGGAAGGCAGAGAGATTTGCTGAGCACACCACTAGGAGCTAACCGCTTGAAGCAATCTCGTTGGAGTAGCTGAGACTTTCTAGAAAGTGGCTTTAACCCATCGAGGATGAAGCCTTGTAATTGTTGTAATGGATTCATTTGCTTGGAAATCGACCAGCACGTGTGGGATATGGACATTGCTATCTGAATGACGACTTATCAAGTGCTTGTAGAGTTTCTAACATTCCATCTTGACAATAAATACATATTGGGCACTCGGCTTTGTTGATAAGTTGTCATTCGGATAAGTTGTCATATCGGAAATCTCGTTGGAGTAGCTAAGACTTTCTAGAAAATGGCTTTAACCCATCGAGGATGAAGCTTTGTAATTGTTGTAATGGATTCATTTGCTCGGAAATCGACCAGCACATGTGGGATATGGACATTGCTATCCGAATGACAACTTATCAAGTGCTTGTAGAGTTTCTAACATTCCATCTTGACAATAAATACATATTGGGCACTCGGCTTTGTTGAGGAGATAGATGTCATTACCCCCCATAAAAATCTCACACGGCGCTTTTCCCGGAAGAATAGTTAAATTGGATAGAAAGCAGAGGGTGAGTCGGGCAATGCTCTCGCCCATGGGCCGAAAAGGTTTCGGAAATGGCTTAACTTATAGTCAATGAAGCGTTGGGATTGAGTAATGAGCATTGCACGTTATAAAATGAGGTCGTTAATGGTTTTGTTGGAGTTAAATTCGATGGAAAAGTATGTATCACTTATAATTCAATGTTTCTAGGTACATAAGCATGGTGGTGGTGACATGAGAAAATTATAGTAGGCGATTTGGGACATACATATATGAAAAATGAGGTATGAACATAACATATTAATACAATATTTGTCGCACAAACTATTGCACACATTATTTATGAATAGCAAAAGCTCACTCTTGCCACTGTTACAATTGCTTTTCTCATGTAACCCAAAAGAACACCCAGAGCAAATAAGCTCATGCAAATACACGCTCAACGGACAAGCCAACTCTCACTTTTTCTCTATATTGGGAAACACTCTGGGCTTACATTATGAGGCTTTCCAATGCCCTAATTACAGCTAGGGTTGTCAAAACCAAACCAGAACTGAAACCGATTCGAATTGAACCGCACCGAACCGAATTTTCATATATTTTTAGTTCGATTAGGGTTTCGGTTTGGATAATAAAAAAAACCATTTTTTTATTCCGGTTCGGTAAATGGAAAATAGCATCTCTTCTTAATATTGCAATTTACACAATCTATCTCCTTTTTTACTAAACCTTTTTTTAATATTTCGAAAAAGAAAACTGAAAAGCCAAATTGAACCAAACCAATTGTGAGTCGAAGGCAAATTTGATCGAGTTTCAGTAGTCTAATTCCGTCGATTGTGAGTCGACGACGGCTTCTCTTCTTCCAAGTTGCCACACGAGGGTCACAACACTCCGTGTCTCATTCTACCTCCAATCAGGATAGTGTACATACAGAATGTGTTTGTCAGTTATTCTTTTTATTAGTTAGTTTGCTTTATAATTTGAGAGACCATTCTTCTTCTTTCTTCTTCTTTTTTTTAATAAAATGAAACATAAAAGTGGCTGCTTGGGTTACATTAAAATAGGGTACTGAAGAAGAAATGAAAGCACAAAAAGTTGTGTTTCTATTGAGAAATGCATGGGAAGGCATAGATTGGCAGAGCACGCCACTTTGAGCTAACCGCTTCAGGAACGAAACTCTGTTGTCTCGTTGGAGTAGCTGAGATCTTCTAGTGATTGCTTATCTCACGGAGAATGAAGCATTGTAATTGCAACCATCAACGCGTCTTTCTTCAAAATCAGTGAAAAAGAAAGACATTGTATTATTTCTACTATTAACAAAGCCAAATAGTACAATAGGTGAAATTTTTGTACCTGTTCTCAATTTATAACATAGCACCGAGTTGGAAATTGTATCTCTACTTTTGAAATTTGCTAAAAAGTACTATCTATCAAAAAGATTATGCACATGGTGTCAAAATTGATTTGAAATATAGAGTCCAAGAGAAAGAGATGATTTCTCCAAGTCAAGTTCTATGTTGATTAAAAATGTGGGAAGGCTACAGTTATTGAGAATGATCTGTGTCATCAAAGAATCACATAATTGAATTGTTGAATGCCCAATGCCTCGAAAAGATCACAATACATCATTAAGAAGCTAGAAATCAAGACGATTAATCTAGGATATATGAGAAGTAGTCAGTAGAAATAAAAATAAAAAATTTATTAATGATGAAATTCTTGAATTATCTCTATCGGTTTTAGTAGTGAATTCGCACAACACACTAAATAGCTAGTTAACCTCAAAGCAAGAAGACATGGGAAGGGAGAATCATTGAGTAAGAAGGAAATCAGGTGTTGGAACGAAAGAGCAAACCAGGTTCGGATTGAAGTAATAGTAAGGCCACTGTCAAGAGATAAAGCTTTGTAATGAAGATTTTCTACCATGCTTTTTCCACTCTATTTTGGCCAAAGAAAATGTCATTTGACGGCCTCCACCCTGTCGGTTTGGTATAATTACAAATCAGGTAATCCGTGCGAGAATCCCAACTTTGACCAATGTGCATTGCAAATTATAACATTTCTTCAAATCCTTAACTAAAAAAAAAAAATGAAGTCGTTAATGGTTTCGTTGGAAAATCCTCCGGAGGTGAACTTGGAATGAAATTCGTTTTGAAAGTAGATTTCATTTATTATTCTTTGTTGTTGGGTACAGAAGCACAGTAATGATAATACAATAAAATTGTAATAGGCAACTCGGAACCTACGTATACAGTATGTATACAACACACAAATAAAATAGCCATCACACAACTATCATGGCAAAAGTGTCAAAAAAGTCCTAAACCTTTTGTATTTGTGCCAATTTAGTCATAAACTTTTTTTTTTGTGCCAATTAAGTTCTAAACCATTTGCTTTGGTGCCAATTGAGTCCTAAACCTTTTTTTGGTGCCAATACAGTCCTAAACCTTTTGCATTTGTGCCAAAAAAGTCTTAAACCTTTTTTTGGTGCCAATTCAGTCATAAACCTTTTGCATTGGTGCCAATTTAGTCCTAAATATTTTCGAGCTACATTAACCGGAAGGACTAAATTGGCACAAATGCAAAAGGTTTAGGACTGAATTAGCAACAAAAAAAGGTTTATGACTCAATTGGCACCAATGCAAAAGGTTTAGGACTGAATTGACACAAATGCAAAAGATTTAGGACTGAATTGGCACCAAAAAAAGGTTTAGGACTAAATTGGCATCAATGCAGAAGTTTAGGACTAAATTAGCACCAAAAAAAGGTTTATGACTAAATTGGCACCAATGCAAAATGTTTAGCACTTTTTTAACACTTTCCCCCAACTATCACACACATAATTTATGATTCGTGAAAGCTTACAATTACTATTGCAATCGTTTTTTCTCGCATGACATGTAAAAACATTTTGAGACGTTGATTCATGAGATAGAAAGATCGATTTTCCCATTTGCGAAATATAATAATAGAAAAAGCCACGCAACCAATGCAATGATTGCTTGGTAACTGTGAATGAAGGGATTTGGGTCATTCTTCATTCAAATCTGACACTACTTTAGACTTGAATAGAAGTATGGAGGCATCTGTGAACTGAAGATGCGTTGATGGAACCCAGATGGAAAAGGAGAGCTCGAGAATGAGTAGAAGAGGGCTCGAGGACAAGAGAATGGTGCTTCTCATCCGCGAAGGAGCTCCAATTGCTCGCTCTTCAAAGCAAGCCGGCAACATTCATCCAACAAAAGGAGCGGTGGCAGCGATGAGGGTTGAAAGGTGAAGGATTTCGAAAGAAACTAAAAGAAAAACTCCGCCTCAACCCAACCATGGCCGATTGGAAGGTGGAGATGCTGCATGACTTGCTCAATGGAAGTTTGATAGCTTTGGACCGTATGCTTACAAGAAGTTCGACTCTTTCAAAATGAGTATCGGGAATTAGTTGGTACTTCATTGATCAGTTAAATTCTGCTCGTGCTCATCGGCTAGATTTTGCTCTCTTTATGCTTTCTTTTTTTTTTGGGCATACATTTATTGGTGGAGAGGAATCACAATATCTATGTCTGCTTGTTCCACGAGTTATGAAGGATTTCTAAAGAACACCTGCAGTCATCGAGTTAGATGCTTCACTAGTGATTGATGATCTATTCCAAGTTGAAGGCCTTGACAAATTGAAAAACTTGAAGGAGCTGCTTTTGGATAGGTGTCAATCCCTTATAAGACCGAACCTTTCACAATTGACACATCTGAAATTTTTAAGAGCTGCAAAATGCCACAATTTAGTCGAAATTAATGACCTTGAGGAAGAATTGGTCCCCATAATTGGCAATAGGAACGTTGATGAGTTTATGTCGACAGTTGATATGGTTATCGACCAAGCGTGTATTGCATAATTAAATCCATGGTCCAAGAAGACCAAGACTTGGCCTATTAAATGGAGTGGGACTAATCCGCAGCGCATGATTAC